CCCCAAAAAAAAAAAAAAAAGAACACTCTCGAAGAAAGGAAGCCTCAGAAACCATAGCCGGCTCCGAAAACCTAGCCTGAACTAATGCCCTAAGGCTCTAAGGACTCATATTTTAAGGCTTTTGGACCCAAAGAGCCTTAGGGATGCTTTGCGACTGTATTGATAGCTTTCCATGGAACCTTAGAGCGCAATAAGGGAAGCAAGAGCCCAAAGGGAGACCCAATGTAGGGGCCTATATAGTATATAGTTACAATTACTATTTTTGGGGGGGTTCCTTATTATAAGTTGGTAATTATACTGGCCCTGAACCCTTATTTTGATTATTAAGGCCGCTATATCATTAGTCTCTAAGACTCGTCTTGCAGACGGGTGACTGCTTCGACTAAACCAGGCCGGCTAGCGACGAAGCCGCAGCCTGCGACGGTCACCTGCGAGTCCGACTTTAGTAGGGTTGGAGTTTAGGTCGTCGTGGGTTCTAGTTCAAGGCTCCATCGGCTAACTTTTTGCTGTGCGCCGCTCGACAGGTAAACGGCTTACAGGTCCGGTTCGAGTCATCCCCCCCCGGGTGCCGTTTACCAGGGAAGGTGACTCCTTGTAGCACAAAAGTTAGCCACCGGATTCCTTTTGAATCCGGGCTTTGGCCAAAATGGCCTTCTTACGGGCAGCCGCTGTCTCTCGAAGACGACGTAGTTCTGGAGTGTCGGCTAGCGACCATTGGCCCTGCTCCATCACACGCTGAAGCACCCCATTGCCATTCCACTTGGTAAGGGCGTCCGCCACCATCTCTGCTCCCGGAACCCACCTCACGAAGGTCTGGTGGTTGTCAGTCAGGGCCTCCCGGAGCACAGCGATGTCGATGAGCAGCTTGCGGTCAGAGGGTAAGTTCTCCGAGTGGAGGGCGTCGTATGCGGTCTTGGCGTCCAGGACGAGGTAGTGCCTCCAAAGCATAGTGGCCGTCTTCCACTCCTTCAAAGAGAAAGGCGGCAACACGATCTCCCCGAGCACGGCCTTGACGTAGTCACCGTACTCAAAGGCCGTGGCCCCGCTGCTGAGCTCGGCCGACATTGAACATCGAACGACTCGCTGAATCTTTGAGCTCTGCACCTCCAAGATCGCCACGTTCGAGGGGCCATTCGCAATGTTGCGGTCCCCGATCATGATCACGAACCCACCTTGGCTGGCCCCGCGAGGCTGCGCACCATACGCCGCATCTGACGCGGTAATCACGCACCATTGGTCCATCGGGACCCCCAAACGCTTCACCACCAAAGGAACGTCCTCGCGAGCTCGCCGAACCACCTTGTTGAGAGCTTCAAGGGCGAGGGGGTCACCAGTTCCGGCCAGTTGCTGTCCATGAGAGGTGCCGTAGAGGAGGTCGAAGCGAGCTTGGCGTCCCGCCCACATCAGCTGACCTACGGTCGAGCTGATCAACTTCTTCTCATACTCCGTAAGAGGAAGCATAGGATCGCCCGGCGGTCGAGGAGGAAGCAGGGGAATCTCCTTCACATAGTCGTCCATCTTGTAAAAGATCTCCATCGTTGTGGGATCCTGCTTCTCCCAGCGACCGCAAAACTTCTGCCGTCCATCGCAGGCTTGGCGCCTCTTCCCGAACTGAAGCCTCGCATGCAGCCTCTCCCATGTTGCTTCGGCCTCCTTGTCTCCAGTGTACCTGGTGTCGTCCACATGGATAGAGGCAATGGCCCCGAGGTGGCCTTGGTCGCGCATCTGGCAAAACACACCAGGCAGCAAACGAAGTTCCCGGAGGCCGAGCTCACCCAAGGTGCTCTTGTACTCCTGGTACCAGAGGCGCGGGGACTCAGGAAGTCCGAAGCCACCCTTCGTCATCTTCACCAGGTCGACGCGAGCTCCCGGACCCACAAACAGGCGGATGAGGTCGTAGATCTCCGCTGGGTAGTCCTCCTTCGGGAGCCGAACATACACTTCCCGCTCGGGAGGCAACGGCCTCCCCTGCAAAAAGGCGGCCGTCACATCCTCGTGGGTCACCGCCCATCCAAACTGCACCGCCAGGAAGTTCACCAAATTCTGCCCCAAGAGAGAGGCCGTAGGGGAGGCCGTCTGATGCATCCCTGCCTCGCTGTCCTTGTGCCCCCCAATAATCCATCGGCCCTTGAGCTTGCACTTGAAAGGGTCGGGCTCCTCCTTGGTCTTGTTGGTGAGGACGAAGCGGGAGGAAAGGATCTTTTCCGGAGGAATCCACCGTTTCTTTGGAATGGTTTCAATCGCCTCGTGCTTGATGTACACCTGAATCGCTTCCACGATCGGCTGGGTGAAGGCTTGGCGCCAGCTCGCGTCGAGCTTCCGCCACTGAAGCTCCACACGATCTTTGCCCATCACAGGGGCCGTGCCCGAACGCACTTCCTCCACAGCGCCCTTGCCGAAGTCGAAGAGCTCCTTGATCTCCTGGGGCTGCTCGGCACGAACCTCACACGCCGCGTACACTTCGAACAAGTCGTCGAGGTCCTCGCCATAGAGCTCCTGCCACGAAGAAGGACCAGGGGCGGCCACGCCTACTTGATGAATCGAAGGCCCGCGCGAACTCGCCGAAGTAGTGCCTCGAGCCTTCGAGGGTAAGGCCTTGATCACCTTGCGCTGGGACTTCTGGTAGGCATCCTCCATCTGCCCGCGCGCTGCCGCCTGCTGCAAAGTGGTCGGAGGCTCCAACTGGTCACTGACCTTCTCAAACAGACGGCGCTTTTTCAGGAAGTCCAGCTCGTGGGGGTCCAGCTGGGCCTCGCGCTCCGTGGTCGCCCTCTTCTCACGCTCCCGCAGGAGCTGCACCGGGACGTCCGTCGCCACCGACCGGCGTAAGGCTTGCTCTTCCGTGGCGTCCCACTCCATCCCACCTCTGCCTCCGAAGAACTCGAGGAAGAGGAGGAGGAATCGGGCTTGGCCTCGGCCGGGGCTGATCCATCTCCCACGGGTTGCTCCACGCGAGCTCGGCCCTGCGACAACTCCTGTTCCAGCTCCTTGACAAAGTCCGAGACAACCGTGGCACCGAGGAGCTCGTCCACCGTGGCCAGGCGCAAACGTTCCATCGCAACCGCCTTGACCCGGCCTTTGATCCTCACCCAGGCCCGCTTGGGCGTGGGATGGTCACGCTCGACACACACCACGGTGCCAGGCCCCACCCAAGAGGTGTTGTCGCGAACTCTCATAGACATACACCGTGGCACCCTCCTTCAGCAGCTCCAAGTTCGGGGGCCTGCTCTTGGCATTGAGTGCCCGACGCAGGGTGCTCTGTGCATCTATCCACTGAATAGCATCTTGAGCTCCCAGACGAACGCGGTCAGCACGTTGAAGGGCCTCGTCGTCCTCCAGGCTCTGGTTCAACCGGTACTTGACCTTGCCTGAGCAGAGCTGCGTCATCAAGGACAACGGCAAAGGAGAAGCCCGGCCCGTCACCGCTTGAAGTGGGCACACGCCAGCTCCAGTCAGGAGCCGGTTCTTGGCAGCCAGCCCGGCAGCCACCCCCATCCTCATATCCTCCAGGCCCTTGAGCTGCAGAGCGTCCACCATCTTCATCAACATGATTTTCAGCACGCCTCCGTGCCGCTCCACCTGGCCCAACTGGTACTTTGCGCCCTCCGGGATCACCTGGTGGGGGACGCCGAAGAGCTCGTTGAGGACCGTCACGGCTCCCTGGAACTCCGTTCCCCCATCCGTGCGTAGAACATCCGGAGGCCCAAAAACACCATACCAGCTATCAGGAAGAACACGGGCCGCCCGGCTGGAGTTCGGCTGCGAGAAGCACTGGCCCACGTGGAAGTCAGTGAGCCCATCGATGAAGTGAACCACGCCGAACTTGGTGCCCTCAGCGTCGAAGATGAAAAAGCTATCTCCAGAGAGGGCCGCATTGAACATCTTCGGTTTCAGACAGGAGACTTGCGGGTCGTTGGCAGGGCCCCGAACGGAGGCGCAGACTTGGCACCTCAGACTCCTTGCGGCAGTCAAGACTTCCTCCTTGGCGCCCGACAGCACCAACATGCGCACCAGCCGGTCGTTGCCCGGGTGGCCGAGCGTGCTGTGTAAGTGGGCGACGGCAGCTCGAACTCCACGAGGAAGCTGGGCAGCATCACCTTCAAAGGTCACGTAATCGTACCTTTCTCCGCTGCTCCCAATTTGCCCAAGAACTCGACGAAGCTCTTCCTCAGGCAGCTGGCTGTTGGCCACCGGAGCCACAAACCAACCTTCCTCGTCCACCGGCTCAGCCAACCCATTCCAGGAGTCCAAGGGAGCACGCTGACGTAGAACTCGTTGGGCCGCCTCCAGTACATAGCTCCACCAGCCAAGGGACCACACCTGACCAGCCAGGGCCTCCCAGCGCAGATTGCTGGTACGATCGTGGCCATTTGGGCAGCGACACCGGGCGGCCTTGCTGAGCTCGACAGCGAAGCTGGCATCATTCACCCCAAAGTGGGCCCGGCCTTGAAGAGGAGGGTCGAGCACCGCTTCATCTGGTCGACGCCCAAAAGCACATTTGTCCACCACGAGCGTGCGCCATCCCGGGAGGTCCTGCAAAAAGGTGAGCTCCCAAGCTTCGGACCCAAAGGGCTGGTCCACCAACATCAAACCCTTGAGTTCGGTCTGATGTTTCCAGAGGTCCCGCACCAAATACCACTCCTTCATAGCTGCGCTGCGAGCTTCTCGCTGAAGTTGCGGATCGTACCGAATACGAAGAGTCGGAGGAAGCCAAAGCTCACCTGAAGGGCGCATGATCACGAGGTCGGGCCTTTCGATGGACATCCACTGTTTCAACAGCACGGCCCCGGTGGGGGTATATATCTGCTCGAACGTAGGGGCCCGTCTCCAATTGAGGTTCTCGGGGAACACCTGAGAAGGCCTGACCGTCTCGCCCACGATCTCCAGAACGTAGCTCTTGGTGTTCAAACGGGCCACCCGGTTGACCTCCGACATATCGCTCAAAATGGTCTGGACCCCAGCCTTCAGCTTTTGAGTCAGACCACGATTTGGACGAGTGACCTGTAAGACCTGATTCGACAACGCACGGCCACCACCCCCTTGGTCTCCGGAATCTGGTTGTAGAGGTCGCTCTGCCACGGCAGCAGCGGCCGCCTCCAAACTTCTCATGCCCTGCGGATCACCTCCGGGTTGTTGGGAATGTGTTGCTTGAGCGCTCCCAAGTGGCCCCAGACAGCCCCCACCTCGCGCATCAAAAGGTTCGCCACCCATCGCCGGTTCCTCTTCCACACCACGTCCGGAAAGCTCCGAGTCACGGCCTCCTTCACCCGCAGCAACCAAAGAAAGCGCTTCCAAGCGAAGGTGATCATCCGTGCCCTCAGCGAGCCTGCGATGTTTAGCGCCAGGTCGCTGCTCCATCGGTCGCTCAGGCTGGGGAAGTCGGCCAGGTGCCCCGTCAGCGCTTTGTTGTTCTGCTTGCGGCTGCGGGCTGCGGCGGCGCGAGCTCGACGTTTCACCAGCAAGTGCTTCTCCTCCGGGGTCAACTCGGTCAAGTCGTAGTACTCGGTCAGGGTCTCCTTCGGCCGCGTGGTGCTCCGCAGAGAACGCCGTAGAGGATGAGTTTCGTCCTCCACCTCCATCCAGGGGTCCTCCGGCTCCTCCAGGTCCGGGCACTGCGCTGCTGGTTCCGCCTAGGCTCGGGCGCCGCGACGCCTCCATGACCACGCGCCGAAGAAGGAGGCGACCGGGATCTCTCGTCCTCAGACGGCATAGAGCCAAGCTGCGCGAGCACCGAAGTTTCACTCTCACCCTGGCACTGCAACACATAGGCTTCCACATCGGCAGGGAGGGCGAAATCTCGGGGAATCGGGGTCCTAACGATGCCCTCAAACTCTTCGATATTCATGAGGTAGTGCCCGTTAGGTGCATGCGGGAGACCATACGCCTTCACCTTCAGTTTGGAAGAACTCAAACAGTGCTTGCCGCAGTCAATGCTCAGCCCAAGTTGTGAACACGCCGGCTTGGAGAGCAAGGGGGGGCAGTCCCCTGCCACAACACTAAAGCGTAAGATCACATGCTTTCGGGCAAAGGTAGCTTCAAAAGCCACAGCATAACAACTGCGAAGTGTGGTGCCGTTCCCAAAGCAAAAAAGTTCTGACTCCCGAACAACCTTGTACCAACGACCTTCTTCGCGCCACCGACGCACCACACTATTCATCCACCGAGTTCCCACCACACTCTTCATGCAACCAATGTCGAGGATAACTTTGTTGACAAGTTCCTGCATGCACCACTGCACATCTATTACATCAGCTCCCCTGCGGTGCCCCCGGCGAGAAACCAAAACATCCAGGAACGCGCAACCCTTCATGTATTGGAACGCCTGCGAGGAGTCACTGGTCTGCACACAGGATGCCAACAAGCTCCACTGGTCGGTCTCGTTGGCAGGGGGAGAGCACTTCGCGCTCGGAGGGGCCCACGCAACCAAAGTGGCATTCACCGAGCCCTTCTTTGGGCACTCACGTGCCCAATGGCCATGCTCTCCACAAATACGGCAAGGGTGAATCTTCATCTGCTCGGCGATTGCCCGGCGCCTCTCCTCAGAAGAGGGCTTCTCTGCTTTATCGCCCTTGCCATAGTACTGCCGGAGCTTCTTCACCTCGGCGATCTTCTGCTTGGCCCGAAAATGCAGGGCATAAGCCTCGTTAGCCGCATGCATCACCTCCACCGCGTCGTCGGAGTTCCCCTGCTCGCTCCGGCCCTCGATCTCCTCCGGAAGCTCGTCCCCGGCAGTCTCCAAGGGCACCTCGGCGCCCAAAGCCGCCTTGTGTCCGCGCCAAGCACCACGTTGAGGTTGCACCAAACACTCATCACCTTGACGCAAAGAGAGGTCCGGCTCGCCCATGCCAATGGGGTACCCAGCCTCGCCTTCCAACTCCGGAGCAAGCTCGACCAAGGCCGTGGTGATCGCATCCTCGGTGTCCGCGCCCGCCCTCGTCTTCACCATCGCCTTGTCCCGGCGCGTGAGCCGAGCATGGTCCAGCAAGTGCCCAGTATAAAAGCTCTCGCCCATGCTCATCGCCGCGTCCATCCCTTGAAGCTGGGTCCGGTAAATGCTGCCGCGGGTGATGTAGCTCTCCATGCTCTCGTTCGGCAGCCGGGTCAGCGACATCAACTTCTTGCGGTGCTGGTCCACGCGGTGGCGGTCCAGTTGCTTTATGAGCGGGCTCATCTCCAGCGTCTTCAAGATGAGGTCCAGGCCACCCGCACCGTTCACATCCTCATTGTTTAGGTGACGCACCAACTGGGCCGCTCTTTCCCGCAACTGCACCATAACACGTGGGCCCACATATTGAGGAGGAAGCTGCCCGGCCTCACCGCCCAACCAGAAAGCCACTTGCCTTTTCCACTCGCGGTAGCTCTCGCCCGGCTGCGCCTTGAAGATAGGAGGGTAGGAGGAAGTCACCTTGCCTGGTCCACGTCGTTCACCTCCCTCGCCGGCGGCCTTCGGATCTCCAAGAGGAAGCCCACCATCGGGACCACGACCTCGCGGAGAGGAGGGCCCAAGCTCCTTTCCTTCCTCCCAAGGCGTCAAACTGTGCCACGACCGGGAGCTTTGCCACTGCGACGGCGTCTCCCAGTTCTCGTTCCACTGCCGGCCTCCTCGTCCTTCGGCCCATTTCGCCGCATAGTAGTCCTCGCCGTGGTACGGGACGAGGGAATCGCCGGCCGCATAGCTCCCGCGCTGCCACTCCCACCAAGGCGTCGAAGTGTTTCGCAAGCGGCCCCAGGAGCTATAGTTCCAGGAAGTCGAAGACGGGCCCCCTTCGCTTCCCACATGCTCCCAGGTGCCCATCGAAGAAGCATCTTCGTTAGCACCAGGAGCCGACCAATTGAAATAATCCCGAGGTCGCCGCTCGGCTGCTTCCGACCAAGGGTCCCACTCTTGGTCATCACCTTCAGGTCGACGATGTTCTGCTGCAAAAACGGAGTGAGGTCCCATGCCACCCGCTCGTCGGTCTTCGCTCCAGTCCCCATCTGACTGTCCCGAAGAAGGCCCCGACGATGCTCCTAACGCCCGGCCCCATCGTCGAGCAGGTTCCCTAGCATCCACCTCCTCACTCTCGCCACTAACATCATGAAACAAAAAACTTGCCATCGTCGACCTCCCTGTCGAGCCGCACAGGCGCAAAGGCTCAAGCCGTCCGCCCTGGATCGATAGCCCGGCTCCGCTGCCAGTTCAAGGCTCCATCGGCTAACTTTTTGCTGTGCGCCGCTCGACAGGTAAACGGCTTACAGGTCCGGTTCGAGTGTTCTCCACAGGGCACTACAACAATCATGTTAAGGGTTCTAGAACGACGGACTCAAGGTTTTTTGGCTTTGATTATGTTGAGGGTTTGGGTGTCGGGCAGAGGATCAGGGCCTGTTTGTGATTTAGCGTGTAGTTTAGAGTTTAGGGTTTAGTTGGGGGTCGAGGATTACTAAATCATGAGGACCCTTAGGCAGGTAAGGGGGCACGGGGGGTAGGGGGCCTTTATTCCCGCAATGAGGACCTCATAACGCTTTTTTGAGGAAGTAGAGTCCTACCCCCGTCCCCCTTCCCCCCCTTAAGGCCGAGGATGGGGACCCCGTGGTCCTTAGGAGAGAGCAAACAGTCCGAAACCCTAAACCCCAAACCCTAAACCCCAAAACCTCATACCCTAAACCAAATGCCTCGGCCCTAGACCCCGTAAGCACTGAATCTAAACCCAGCAGCCCCTACAACCTATGTAGATAAAGCCTTAAACCCCAAAGGCCCTACACCCTACAAGCCCTCACCAACCCCTCAAAGAGCCTCAAAGGGGACCCCACTATAGAACCCCATAGCACCCGTTAAGGGGGGCTTACATGATAGAACCCCTCATCTTATAAAAAGTGCCCTTTATCTCTCTGGTTCTTAGTAGGGAATGGGGGAACGGATCCCTATGATAGTCCCTGAAGGTGTCCTATAGTAGTCCCGAAAACCCATTCCCCCATTCCCTACTAAGAACCAGTCAGTTATAGGAACCCCTGAAGGACCCTACTATAGAACCCCATAGTACCCGTTAAGGGGGGCTTATATGATAGAACCCCTCATCTTATAAAAAGTGCCCTTTATAGGAACCATCAGAACCCTAAAGGAGTGCCCTGTAGCCGGTGCTGCAGGGCCTGGGAGCTTTCCAAAGCGTCCAATCTCGAGCCTCGCCAGGTACTTGGTGCTTTTTTCGGGATTTTGGGAGCAGGGCTTTAAGGTTTTTTGTTTTTAAACACCATTTTTCCGGCTTTGGGGTTTAGGACTTGGGGATTTGTTGGGGGAGGCTCTGTTTAGGGCTTTGGGGGCATAGGGCTTCGGGGTTTAAGGGTTTCTCTGGGGTTCGGAATGCTTTCGGGTTAAGGCATCAGAGTGCGAGTGTCGGATCTGTGGATTTCAAACCTCGGGGTCCGGAGGCTTTTGGGAGGGGGGTGTAGAATTTAGGTCTGGGGGTTTTCGTGGTGAAGGTTCATTGGTAAACATTGTCGATGATGGATTAGGTGTGGCTCGGGAACCGGTGGCTGGAGTGGTGCGACGAGCCGTGACAAAGCAATGTTTTGGCGGTATGGTGCAGGGTTTAAAAGTTTGGGGTTTTATATGCCGCACACGAAAAAACAGTGTTAGGGCTTTAGGGCACGGTTTACACACGAACATGAAAGGAGCAGGAAACGGAGGAGTTTGGTTTGATAGCTCGACATTGGAAAAGGCTGCAGCGCTGTAGCACCAAGCACCGGGCGAAGGTGATGAAGCTCCATCTCCGGATCCAGATCATCTCCTGCCACAGGTGCGTCCACATGTGTGCATCGAAGTCCAGTGAAGGGCAAGAAACTCTGGAGCCTTATCAATTGGAACCGGGGTTTGGGTGTATCTTTACAAGACATCCATAAAGCGACTATGATGGGAGATAGTTTGTATTACTACTTAATCCGGCCCCTCATTACACCCGCTCTAGCGCTCTGGGTACCAGCCACGCCTGTTGATTGCAGCTAGTGAACAACAGTGGTCCTGATGCAAGCAGTGAACAAGATAAAGCTGCAGGGATCTGAAGTTGAAGTGTCATATATGTATATACCTTTATAGCTTTACAGTGTTTGCGGACTCGGGCCTTTTCCCAAACAGAAACCAGGGGGTACATGGTAGCATCCTTCTACAGGACATCAGCCTGAAAGGGCTATCAAAGCAACCAGTACGTCCCAATGCCTCTTGATTTGCTTAATTCGTTGAAACTCAAAAAAAGATTCAGCATCACGCCACTTCAGCCGAAGACAGCTTCATCACCACTGTCAGAACTCAACAAATGTCGCCAACGTGTATCCAATGGCCGTCATGATGGCCATGGTAGTTATGCGGCTGCTGATAGAGACCATCATCACCACCGTCACCATGCTTACCGTCATGGCCATAGTCATGACACTTTCCTTAAATGATAGGATCCTTAATATGATGGTTCAACGTATATTGCTTAATTAAGGGGTATTGGGCTATCTGAGTACTTGTGCACATGGGTAGTTCTCTTAACTAGGGTCCCTTATTAGGTCCTCCCCATATAGTACGGCACCATGCGGCACCCTTCTTAAAAGGAACCCCCAAAAAGGGACCCTAATTTAGAGAACTACCCACATATAACCCGTTATAGTACCCTGATAGTACCCCTTACAGATCCCCAAAAGCCTAAACCCTAAACCCTAATTTAGAGAACTACCCACATGTCCTCCTGCACAGCCGAGCAAGGCGACGGCATCCTCGGGAACCTGCACCAGCTCCCGCAGGCCCAAGGGGCTTGGGGCTTAGGGTGTAAGGGTTTAGGGGTTTAGGGGTGCAGGGTTTAGGGGTTTAGGGTTTAGGGGTTAGGGGCTTTGGGTTTAGGGTTTAGGGGCTTAAAGGTGTAGGGGTTTAGGGTGTAGGGTTTAGGGGTTTCGGGTTTTTAGGGCTTAGGGTTTGGCTGCTTGTTTTTGCTGTGTCATCAGTCGAATGATAAAAACCCCTGCCCTAAACCCGAAACCCTAAACCCCGAACCCCTTACCCCTAACCCTAATTGAAGCCATTGAGGTACGTAGCCAAGGTGCAGATAACGGCGGGACACTGGCGAGTCTCTTGGAGAAAAACCAGATTGGCTTTGACTTACCGGATTAAGCTACTGTAGGGTTCACGGATTGCCGGGTTTAGATTTTAGGTGTTTCAGAGCTTGGGGTTCAAAGCAGCTGAACTCTGAACCCTAAACCCAACATCTTACTTCCTGCCTGACCGAAGTCGCAGCCAAGCAGGCCACTCAGGGTCCCTGATTACACATACACACGCACACACACACACACACGCGCACATCATATGTGTGTATACTTGTGTAACATAGAAGCCTGAATAATTACCAATACCGCTTTGTATACTGGGCCCAAAACCCATGCTAAAGATTAAGGCCCCTATAGTATATGTGTGTGTGTATATATATATATATATATCTATCTATCTATCTATCTATCTATCTATCTATCTATCCTGGAAACAAGAGCCCTGAACTCGAAGGTCCGGGACCTGAAACACCCATTATCAGAACACCTATAGTAAACACTTCTATAGGGTTTAGGGTTTAGGGCTTTGGGCTTAGGGTTTAGGGTTTAGGGTTTACGGTTTAGGTTCACTATAGAAGCCATGGAAGGGACACGTATAGTTTGGGACAGCGTGCAAGAGGCCTCGGGCAAGGCACCAGGGCTCGCCAAATCGAGGATTCCTTGGAAAAGCTTCGGGGTTCATGGTTGGAAGATTTAGGGCTTCCGGTTTAGGGTTACGGCGTAGGGTCTGGCATAGGGTTTCGGTGTTTTTGTTCATGGTCTCGAGCGTCGGGTGTAATTACGGGGCATCGGTTCAACTCTCGCAGCATAAACGCTGCCTCTGGGATCCTGTCTCGTTCAATGTAGAATAGGGTTGAGAGCTGAAGGATTTATTAGGGTATTGGATCAGAGGTTTGAGGTTTACGGTGTAAGGTTTAGGTTTTAGAGTTTAGGCTTCGGCTGCATCTCGAGTCTCGTGGTTTTCCAGGGCCGTGCTGGCTCCTAAGCTCAAAGGCCAAGGCCCCTGGCCCCTCTGAAGCCCAATTCCTAAACGTGCCTCTGCTCTACGCCTCTGGAGAATCGCGGGTGCCGTGCACCGATCCGAGAAGCTGTGACATCTCCGCAGACACTGAAAGACTTGGTAGCAAATGAGCCGAAAAAAACCCTAAACCCATAGGGCCCCAAGCCCTGAACCGACCGGGGCCGGAAACTTTGCTGGAGTTTGCTTATGGACCCTTTGAATCCCCAACCCTAACTAAAACCCTGAATCTTGTAGAAGGCCAGAAACCTTCAGAAAGACGCTGAGCCAAGCAGCTCCAATGCTTTGTTCTGCAAGTCATCTAATCTAAGGGTCATCTAGCGAGCATGGCAACAAGAGGAGGGAGAACCAACAACCCTTTAACCCAACCCTAAACCCTCTAAACCCTAAACCCTAAACCCTGAAACCCTAAACCCTAAAAACCTAAAGCCCCAAAACCCTAAACCCTCAAAGCTGAACAGTCTTGTGCTGCCAAGGTGCGGAGATCTGGTGCCTCCGAAGCCATCTCTGCCTGCTCTCAGTCTGGTTCTTAGTAGGGAATGGAGGAATGGGTTATTGGGACTACTATAAGGGGACCTGAAGGGACTGTCATAGGGATCCAGAGAGGCATAGCTGCAGGATGGAACCCTTACAGCGTGTTAGGGTTTAGGGGTTTAGGGTTTAGGGTTTTAGGGTTCAGGGTTTTGGGTTTAGGGGCCTTGCAGCTGTTAATACCACTAATGAGGTACCCGCGGTGCATCATTGCGACTTGCCGACCCACTTACAGGGCTTCTGTTATCCCCCAAACCCTAAACCCTAAACCCACGCTCATCGTTTGTTTCGGGAGCATGTGTCAGTCACCCGAGGCACTGGAGGCATACGGGGGTCATAGGGCCCTAAGCCCTAAACGATGCAGGGTTTAAAGATTCTGTCAAGGAGCTCGGTCATGCTCTATCGCATTGGCCAAAGGCTTCCCCGCTCTCGAAAGGTCCCGGCAAAAAGACACGACCACTTATACATGAAGTGTTTCGGATTTGGATCAGCGA